AATGACGATTTGTTTTTCTAATTGATACCATTGCAAGTGTTCTTTCACAGTCATGATATCACCATTCCCCGTAATCGATTTAAAACCGCATAATTGCATTCTTTTACAATTACTACAAATGCAACGTTTTATTCCAAAGTAGTGCGTGACTACTTGTGCTTCCGGTAGTTGTTACATGCTTCTGTCATCAGTGTTACATCGTTTTTTTGGTTTTTAGAGGACTACGACCTGTATCCGACTCGAATGCTTATTTACCGGCATCTACCAACACAAAGTAAGTTTCGAAAGCGTCTTAGTTCCTCAATGGTAATTGAAGTCCTCTTCTCCAGGTCTCGCGCTTGTACGTTTTATCGGATTCTATAGTGTTATTGATGCATTCATTATGAATTTATACTTGTTAATTAACATTTGAGAAAAGCTGGGATCTGATACGAATGTGATAGAAATTGTGTTAATGAGCAATGTGGTAAGAGGTTGGTCGTGGAATGTTGTGGATGACGACATACAAAAACCCTAGGAAATGGAAACGTATATACAGGAATTATTTGTTGTAGCTCCATTCTATTGTCGAAGAATTTTGGTAAAATGGTCCAATTTTTTCCTTCTTTTTCGTTAGGACGCACATAGAGGACCTAAAAAAGCCTTAAGTTTTTTTACGCCGTGTTAATTTCTTATGTTTTCATCAGTTGCGACATTGCTTATTTCCATTTCGAGCGTTCAGTACTTAGGAGAGTAGTATCATTTTTAAAATACATGCATATATCGATCTACTGACTATTGCATCCTCAATTTTCATTTCTGGGATTGTGATTGTGACCAGGAAGAACGTAGAAGGACATTTTGATCTTAGCATCTAGTCTCATGGCATATTCGAAATTATGGCAGATGTTATTCACTTTGCAAAAACACTGTTAATTTTTCTCCGAACTTCTGAAGTTGAGTTATTTCAGCAGAGTCTTGTCAAGGTTGTAGGACTCGAGACCTGTACTGGCCAAGCTTAGCTGACTTTCTCGAGATTGAAAACGAGATTTGAATAACCAAATTTACATCTATGTTATGCGCCTTCAAATGAAGCAAATTTTCCTAACCTTTTTTCAGCATTCTTTCCAGTTGCGATTTCTAAATCCTACTGTGTACCTCTTGAAACGCTGAAATAGAAAATTACGAACGACGTACTAGGTTGCTCGGAAGTTGTCGCAGGATTTCAATCTGTATTCTTTCAAACGATATGTCTCGCTTAAAAATAAACTACAATAATTGAATTAAAGGCCATTAGATTTAATAAATTTTTGTCTACAAGAAACAGATTTTGACATTTATTCACTGCTTACTCTTTTTTTCATAGCAGGTACTATGTGGAATACAACCGAAGCGATGGTGAGATATAAGCAAAGCTCGGAACATTAGGTGGACTTCTAATCCGCGATTTCTTTTGCTGGGACTCACGTACTGTCCACCATGCCATCCAGGGCCCTTGCTTTGCCATTCTCTCAGTCAGTTTTTTGTAATCATTTCGATATGTGCTCTCCAGATTATTCCCACTGACGGAATTGCTAACAGCACCGTTAGAATGGAAAACTGGCCGAGAAAAATTCAAAGCAAGGACCTCGGTTGGTTCGATGAGTTCCCTTTGAGCATAATCGAGATCAGAGGCCAGCTGAAGCTCCGAATTTTGCTCAGATCTCACCATCCTTGTGACTATAGCTAATTTGTCTGCATAAAACTCTGGAATTTAAGGCAATGAGGTCGTTAAAGGAACTTTCGGCAGTGTTTGGAGATGTGATAGTCGATAGACGAGAGTTTAAGCGAGAATGGCTGTTATGGCAGACCTTGGTTCCTAACTCGTTCATCCTTTGCAGACCTGTTGTGGAACGTGTTACCATTTCACTTGGTGTCTATTTATCGAGGCTTCTCAACTTTCAACTCTTTTTTGGATTCTGGGAATCGGTTGAGATGCTTGTACCGAGTTCTGCAACTTCTTGAATAGTTGTTTGTCTATTTGCTAATAGGAAAGCCTTCACCATGTCATCATCTTTAAAGTAGAGACATCTGCTCCCATCCCCATGTTAAACGTCGAATTTCTCACAAGCAGCTTTTCTAAACCAATGTCGCATTACGTATTCGTTAACATTCCCTTTGCTTCACACCTCATGAACGCTTCGTTTGCTCCGCGTACTTTCAGGTCTGAAATCATGAAAGTAAGTTTATCGAAGTATCTCTTTTGATATCTTAATTTCTGGTCCATAAAATTTACCAGAATCGTATTTTATACTACGATTAAATTACTCAGCACAGAGGTACATAAAATGAGCCCTAAAGTGATATCTCTTTGAAAGAACGATTGCAAAAACAATATTTTTCTTGTTTATTAAATTAGCACGAGGCTGGCAAAAAGTTTTACTCGACCGGTGTTTCGACGGCGCATGTGGATGCAGTGGCTAGGCGCACCTGCAGTGTGCATGGGATATCAAATCACCGCCACAGGCTCACCAAGCCTTCCAACCCTTCGGGATCAGCAAACTAGCACCAAACTTGTCTGGGAGGATAGCAGCACTGAATAGACACATCGGTAGGGCACTGCGAGTACATTATTCAAGCTAGATATGCATTCAGACAACCTAACGATGCTTAGTGAAGTCGAATGCACAGCACATCTCTCAGGGATTGATCAGCGCCGAGATTATCCTTATCCTATCCATTTATCCTCTATCCTTTAACGTTTTGATGTCACCACCATCTTCAGAGCCGAATTTACTCAAGTCCATTGTCGATGGCCAGCCCTTCTTGCGATGTGGATCTTCGTAGTTTTCTTCGTTGTTTGGAGAACAGAAAATTATTATTAACCCTTACCATGTCGTTAAAACGCAATTGAGGTGCGCATTGAAATGACGGTGTGTAGTCTATAAATCCGTGCAGGAGGAACAATGCGCTGGTTTTTTGAGAATATCGTTCTACTGTACGGTTCTCTGACATTTTTTTCATCTCTAACATCTACATGTCCGCTACGTTTTTCTGTGTAGTTCCCATGTTTTTGGATACCTCTTGCGTGTGATCTAACTCTTGTTTGTGATTAAAAGATTACCTGTTCATTATCTAACAATGATGTTATTAGCTTTCCGCAGGCTTTTATGTTTTCTGTCTCTTTTACTTTTTTTTAATATCCAGCGATTTCATTCCACCGCTCGAATATCCATGGACCAACCTTAGTATAAAATCTGTCTTTGACAAGCTGTTGATTGATTACGATGGATAATGGAAGTGTTATATGATCTCCTTAAAAATTGAAAGAGAAGCATTTTTATCAACGCGGTATATTATGTAGTTGGTTGAATACAAAATGTTCACCATTTTCACGACTGCGACCATTTTCGTGTGCCTGTTCCATCCAACGGAACATCGTTCGAGCACAGTTAGGGTGCGCATTGAAATCCAGATGTGCGGTCGTGAAAATGTTAATGGCCGTTCTATATAAAAGGGAACTGTCAGGTGTCGGTAAATCGTTTGAGTGGCGTTCATCCGATTTGACGCAATGTGACCACGGAAGATGCACATCGGAGGAATGGGAATCGACTCCAAACAATTCTTCTTTAGGGAGGGCTAATGCGTTGAATTACCCGAATAAAAACTTTGTGACAACGTCGTGTTAGCCTAGTAATCCAAGAAAATATTGGACGTTGACGTCGAGGTGGAATAAAGCTAACTTTTTAAAGGTGTCTGTTGCTAAAAGATACTCAAGAAGGATGAACACTGAAATCTTGCGTTAATTTCCGAACAAACTTATAATACCCTTGTAGTGTAGATTTTCAACGTGGCTTAACCGTGAATACAGAGCCGGATTTCTTGATTCAGCATAGCGTGGCCAATATTCAACTTCCACTTGACTTATCACCTTTTTAGGAGGTCTAAAATCATCTAGGTTGCTCCCTACTTTTGCGCAATTTTGCTTATCTCTATGCTCAGGTTTTACACTGCATAAAGAACTTCAGCGGGATAGTGTTATCTACACACTCGCACTTCTTAATGGTAATTTTGGTCAGTCTCGAATAGAAATCGATTATGACCTTTCATTCAAATGAAGATAAAAAGTGTGGAATATTGCTTAATGTTACCCATTTAACTTCAACGGTGCTGAGATATTTGCAAAACTCCAGACTGCAGGTGTCTGCGGTGGGGAACGAACGCGTTATTGTCCTTTTCGGGGAGTAACGCGTTCACCACCACACCATGCAGGTCCTTCGTTTCGCCTGTCTCTCAGCTAGTTCTATCCATCTCTACCATCTTGCCATTAAAAAGAGTAGGCAGTAAATAAAACGGTTAATATTGTGATTATAACTGCGGTCTCAGCTTAACTGGGTTCGTTGCCGATTTGGGCCTCCAGGTCAATCCCGCTGATGGGTGATTACTGATGGCAAATGATCGATAGAACTAGTTGAGAGACAGGCGAAACAAAGGACCCGCATGGTGTGGTGGTGAACGCATTACTCCCTGGAAAGGGCAACAACTCGTTTGTTCCCCACCGCAAGCACCTGTGGTCCGGAGTTTTGCAAATATCTCAGCATCATCGAAGTTCCTATTTCTATTTTTCCCTAGTTTTCTACTTTCCAGGTGTTTCTTCACGTGTTGATGTGGAATACGGCGACGCCGTAGCGAATATTTAAAATCATATTCAATTTAACAACTAACTATTTAGTATACTTCGAGTCAGCGAGTATGAAATGTGTACAGGTCTGACTTGATAAATGTTAATGTCAGTTCCACCACACTTAAAAATTTATGAATAGATTTTCATAGCAATGATATTTCCATTATGGATAGAAGAAACTCGTATATGAACACATGCGTAATGAGAACAATCTGACTGAGGTTGATGTGTACTACCATTACATTGACATGACATGAATAATCAGTGAATTAAAAAATTCTTCTCGTCGACCGATCTTTGCCACTTTTTGGAGTTATATTTAATAGAAAGTCAGTTTTCATGCGAACAGTGGTCATGGTTAAATTTGATTACGTCCACTAAGCTTTATCATGATATTGACAGAGTCGCTGGAGTTTGTGTAGGTCTTTGCAGTGCCTCTCTTGAAGAAATTACCGACAAATGGAAGTGAAGTGAAAATTTTGGTCATTAACTGGTCATACGGCTTCAGAGAACGAAGGTGTAGTGGCAGCCATTCCCAAGTACGAAGGAAAGGCGGAAGTGCACCAGAATAATGTTTCTGAAAAACATATTCACTTTGTGATGACATGCAGACAATATTGATGTTAGTCGTGTGGAAATAGCTATATCCTTTCTTGAATATAATGAAATTTAGCCTATAGTACAGCTGCCTTTCTAATATTAACAATTAGATATTTTAGACTTAGCCAGCGAAAGTGTTCGCTTTTTCTTTCGCGGGCTAATAGGTTGTGGCCGGTAACAATTGTTTAAGATTTTAATACTTTTGCTGCCAATGATTATTTAAGTGAACTAATAATGGATAAATAATGAGTTTGCTGGTAAGATATGATTACAAAAGTTCATCACCATGAGGCTGTAATGAGGAGCAGAATGTCCTGGGCTATTCCTGGGAATTAAAGCATGGGGCGTGAGAAAGAGATGATTCCACCTGGTGCGGTATTGGTCACAACTAAAATCTGATGAAACGCAAAACAAGTGGGTGGGCCAGTTGTGAGATCATTCTTGATAAAATTAAACCTTTCAGCGCGCTTTTAACATAGTGATTAGGAGTGCCCCTGCAATACACAAATAGTCGTTAGTTCGTAGCCGCGCCCCGAGCTAATCAAAACATTCGTCTTTTCGAGATCGTTAAATTTCTAAGAAACTTGCCTAGGAGGATAACAGCACAGTTGGATGCATGGCATGGCGATTCTCTCTGTCTTTTAAATAAGAATACCTACTTCCACTTCATCTGCTTAGACTGCGACGTAACCTCCCAACATATGATATTTGAAAGCATATGTGCGGTCGTTCAACCGTTTTCTCTGTATGATCAAACATACTACAGCATCATTGAAAAATTCCACAGTACCTGCTCTCTACAAGAAAGGACGTCAACATTTTAAAAACCTTCTTCATGTCCTAATGAACACACTAGTTAGCATTTCTAAACTGTATTTGTCATAATGGAACACATTTAGTCAATGGAAAGGAATAAGAATCTCATTGTTATACAAGAAAATAGATTTTTACAACGTCGAAAACTATTCCTCAATCTGTATTACCTGTGTGATCTTAACCCGTCTTCAAGAACACTCAAAAAAGTTGAAAGATCGAAGATTTAATCATAAATGAAGACGAGCTTTCGGAATAATAGTTCGCTATATGGCCGAATGCGACGGGTCATATCCAAAAGTCTATCAAAGCCATTAATATATTATAGGAAGAATGTATAGAAAACGACGTTGCATTCGTCTAGTCGATTTATAAGGGACTTTCGATTCTCTTTAGCCGAAAGAAACAACAGTTGCCTCGAACAACAAGAGCGCATTGTCATGCGGAAAATTTTTCCACCTACTGTACAGCAACTTCGTTGTCAGGAGTTCCTTATGCAGTAATATTAGGCTGTAACGTATGAAATGTCCGATTATGTTGTTTTCATGAAATTTCTTCAAAAAGTTTCGTTTTTATGTAAGTTTAATATATATTTTTGGAGCAAAAGTCTGCTTTTTCTGTATCCTGCATTGATTTTTTTAAACTTTTATTTTAACATTTTTATACGCTTTAAGTTTAGTACGAATCAACGTGATATTCGTGGTTTTTTTTGTACAAGTGGAAGAGTGGAAATAATGCCGCGGCGGGGTCTCGGAGTATCAATGTCGTGTTTGAAGACGGCTTTGTTAACGAACGCACCAGTCGTCGTTGGAACACAATGCTTGAGTCTGGTGATGAGAGCCTTGCAGACGACGAGCGTGATAGGCTAGAAATTACGGTTAACGATGAAGTCCTTCGTACTCTAGTCCAATCAAGTCCACATAAAATGGTCTGAGAAGTTGTGAAATTGTTTGGACCATTCAACGTCACTTACAGTAGATTGGTAAAGTTAAAAAAGTGGACAAACGAGTTCAAAAGGAACTCAGCAAAAAGCGAAAAACAACGTCTACAAATTTGCAATGCGCAACTGATTCACAAAAATTGAGATCCATATTGAATCGAATTATAACTTGCGATGAAAGTGGATACTGCACGATTATCGTCGCCGTTCTGCACGATGGCTAGACGCCGATGAGAACCCACAACACATGTCTAAACCGAGTCTGCATCCAAAGAAGACAATCCACGTTCCATTGCTCTAAATTCAGGCTTGCCAAAGGGACAGTTCCTATTATTACTCAGTTCAAAACTTTTAGGATTCCAAAGCCTACAAAATTTCCCATTCTCTCTCACAAGCCTGGATATGTACCATTGTAGGCAAGCAGTTCTCAAGGCACTGAAAAAAGTAATGGGCTAACGAAAATGCCTGACGAGTGGGGGATGAATTTTTGAAATGTTTTGCTTTCACGTCAACATATCGTTTATTTGTTGCCGAGTATATCTCCTAGTCCTTTTTCTTCGCACGTCATACCACGGTCAACAAACCTATCGCCCACCTCGTGTGAAAATTCACAAACTAAAATTTATAACAATGACATCTCACCATTTTCATACAACTAGTTTGCACAGCACTCTTGGCTGTATTAGACTTTTTACTTTGCTTGAGATGTCTTAAAATTGTTTTTGCGTTTACTCCTTGTTCTTCTAGAGCTATTGTTTAGCCCTCTATTTCGGTCAAGGTCTTCAGTTTGTCATCGTTGATCGCAGCAGTTCGTCTCAGGCTTTTCACATTTTTAAATTTTCCATTCATCACGAAACTTGTGATACACTTCGTTGTGCACTGATTAATGGCCCTATAATCAAATGGAACATACAGCCCACACATGTTTTTGGAGTTTTCTTGCAAATTTGACTTCGTGTAGAGATAAACTCAAATTTTTTCTCTCTTAATTAAATAACTCAAATTAAACGACAGTTTCATGAAGGCGAAAACATTGCGGTGCTATCATATGATATGTGCGGCACTCATTTAAAGTCAGCAAGAGGCATCTAACTTTGTTTAAGAATGAATTAGCTAATGAAAAAAAACAGGTTCTACCTTCTTGACAATTTCAGTAGTAGTATTTTAACAATAACAAAAAAGCTGGAATGCGTTCATTGCTCCTATTACTATGTTCTTCATTAATAACTTATTTGAAATCATAATGTAGCTGAGATATTTGCAAAATTCTGAACCGCTGGTGTCTGCGGTGTGGACCGAACACGGTATTACCCTTTACGAGGGTTAACGCGTTCACCACCACGCCATGCGGGTGCTTTGTTTCGCCTGTCTGTCAGCCGTGTGTTTCCTCGGAAAGAGTAATAGCGTGTTCGGTCTCTACTGCAGACACCAGTGGTCCGGAGTTTTGCAAATATCTCAGCTACATTATGCTTATATGTCACATAATACGCTGCCATTAAAAATCACTAGCCAGTAAATGAAAAATTGACGACATTGTATTTGAAATCACCTGCAGAGCTGTAATGATAACGAGCAGTGTGACTAAGACAAATACCATAGAAAAGCAAACGACGATGACGTAGTCCGGCAACAGTGTTAGTCCGATAACAATGGCAGGAATGAGAATGAAGAACAGAAATATGAACACCACAATAAACCAGCGATACTGTAAAACAATACGTGAAGTGGTTTTGTTCTCACGCTAACGTTGAGACAACTTGTTTACTCCCGAATTTTTGCTTGGAAATTTATAGAACTTTTTTTCAAAGAATATAGAGTTTTTATTTTTATATTTTATATCACCTGATAGGTCGCGTATAGCGCAGTTGTAGGAAGCGCCCTGCAATACATATGGACTTCATCCCTGCACCCCAGACCCACCAAGTTCTCCAACCCTCTAAGGTCGGCAAATTTTTACCAGACTTTCCGTCGGTTGTTGTAAAGGCCAGATATGCACTCAATCACCTCCAACAATGATTGATAAGGTTGATTGCCTGGTGCACCCCTCAAGGATAGATCAACGTCGAGAGCCTTATCCTTTTTTATTTGTATGACCCGACATCACATATTTTGAAGATTTCAGCACTTCTTTACTCGATTTATTATTCGCAAAACTCAGAGGGTTGTGGACTGGGTTCGGGTGCTTCTTGAAGTTTTTTGGTCGTTTTTAGGAAAGTAGTCAAGAGCTGCCCGAGTTGATTTTCGCTGGAATCCTGTAATTTCGTACTAGAGCGTTCCCAGATCTTCACCGCTTGCAGTCCTCGTTCTATTTGGATCAGAGGAAGCACATAGTACGTAATTCAAAATTCATAAGTCCAGAGGCATGAGAGGATTAGTTAGACTAATGTGAGGTGAAGCTACGCCTTGTACGCATTGTCGAACAGCACCTAGGCCTTTGGTATGTTGAAATATCCTAATTCATTCTCTTAATTTTAAGGGATTTTTAGAATTCGCGGCCAAATGACAAATCAATTACGAAATCGGTGGTGCTTTGTACTTCTCACTTCAAATAGAGTGGCCGAGTTGGCAATACTTCTGTTGATCGCAGTGCTATGACGTGGTCCCTACACAGAACATCTGTGGATAAAGAATGGCTATTTAAGAATAATGGCAGGTACAGTAAACATATACTCGAATTTGAACAAGATTTGTGTTGGAAAAAGTGGTATTCATCTCCTAACACGCAATTACTTCGTCATTTCTCATCAGTTTATTTATGAACTTTACCGAAATTTTAGCAGTTACTCTCTGTCTCTCACATGTAAAAAAGTACAGCATGTTACCAATTTGTGGCTTACGTCGATGAATAAATGCCACTCATATCGTTGTCTTAACTACCTAATTAATTTTTAAATAGAGAAAGTAAGTATCCCCACCTGATCCGTAGTTTCTCCTAGTTGTTCTGCCAGAAAAATTGGTAGTCTTCTTGTCCACGGAATCAAGTAAAACATAAACGTACCAATAATATTGTATATTACCTGGCAAAGCGCCATATGTAAGGTCCTACAATATGGAAGGAGATAAGTGTTTGAACTAAGAATTATGAAATTCAACCACTATGATCCTGGGATATTTCCAAAGCTTGCACCCCAGGCTAGACCCAAACTCGCAATTATCATTTCATTTCGGGGCTCGGGTATTACCCACTGTACCACTAAGGCCCTTGCTTTGTCTTGTCATTCCCGTTGACGTATGGTGCTGGTGGCACGGTTAGTGTAAAAAACTAGTTGAGAGAATGGTAAAGCAGGGGTTTAGCGGTGCAGTTGGTAACACGTGAGTCCCAGGATAAAGCAATCACGAGCTTGAATCTGGCTGGTGGTCGAAGTTTTGCAAATATCTTAGGATCGCAGTTGTTGCATTTCATTTCATACCTTGCTTTGAAAAATGATAGGCAGTAAATAAAAACTAAAAATTGTTATCTTGCAATTATGGTCTAGAAAGTTTCCAAGATCATTGTTCATGTGTGTTAATGGTTAGTTCAACGAGTTCTACAGTAACATAGTTTTGATCTGATACATAGTAGTGAGCCCTTTTGAAACCCTGCATGCCAGCAAAGTCATACATTAGCGGAGTGGATTGCACGACAGTTTCCATCACCAGATCATCACAGATCTACACGTGGGACTCTCTTCGCGTCCCTACAATGCGGAATGTTCCGATTTTCATTTTCCCTCGATAGAGACAAATGAAGAGTTTGCAGGTGCCCACTCGGGCAACTTGTTTATGGCATTTAAAAGAGGTGACAGGTTATAAGAAATATGCTATTCAGTGACAGTAAAAAAAGTAGGGTCTAACTAAAAACTTAGCAAAAAAGTACTTTTCAAAACGTGAACCGTCTGCGGTTAGAGCAGCTAGGACTGCACTGAATGACCCGCCAATATTTGCTCCCAGAATGAGCGGGTACATCTGCTCAAGTGTGATTACTCCTGAACCAACCAATGGCGTCAGAGATGACGAAAAAACGTTGTTCGATTGAATCTAAAAAGCAGTTGTTTTAAAACTAGACCTTTTCAAGAAGGAAGCAATGCGAAGTGACCACAAAGAAAATATTTTGATGCTCAAAGAAGACGACAGTCAAAAAATAAAGCCTGGAAAATGAATGTTCTTGAGTTGGAGCTAACCCCCATAGTTATTAGCAATCCAATGAGCATAACACTGTATCCAGTGCAAGGTTTCCATACTCCTGGGCACTCTTTGCCTAAGAGACCACGAATAAATTTGGCGCTTGGACCATTCAGAAGAGTCTAGAATGTCATGTAGTGTTTCCCAAAAACTTTTAAGCCTGGTAACAAATCTCCCAATTGATTACCTGGATGAAGTAAACAATCCCGACAAGACAACAAAGTAGCACTGTTATGGAAGTCAACAAAACGATCCATCCAATTATAGCATCTGGTAGCGAAGAGTAGGCGAAAATGTGTCTGTAGGGACCTAATCACGTAGTGTTTCACTTGACTTCACCATTCGAAATAAAATTTGTAACTAAGCAATTTAATGGAATCCAGAGTGTTTTTCATAGATAGCAGACATAGGTGGAATTTATACATACATACATATATATGTATGTATATATATATATATATATATATATATGTATATATATATATATATATAGCTTCTGATATAGTTCTTGTAAAAATTTAACCGCCGATGTAGTACATACTCTGTACTTTAAATAGTTAAGAAATGATTGAAGAAAAATGTTTGTAAATAAACGAAAAATAAAGGTATAAGCTGATGGTGCAGTAATAGAAAACATACATCGGTAAATTCGTGATCCATTAGGGAACACACATCGATATACGAAAGAGTGATCAGGAGGAAAGCAGTCGTCATCAATGGTAGCATTTCTCAATTCGGCTTCATTTACCTAAACTCACCATGTTTCGTAGGCATGTTACGCCAATTTCTGAATTCTGAACCATGAATTGTGAAATCCACACTCTGCCAAACACCGCAGCCTCAAGACTAGTCATTCATTCATCTACTTGGTGGTTTGTTAGAAGAAGGCTGTAAAGACTAAAAAATTAATTTTTTTCTGCTGAACCACACAATTGAGTTGCAACAAAGACTATATCCATATACACTACTTCAGTGGGTTTTTGATGGCATAATTATACCACAAGGCTTATCGAAGCTACAAACAACTCTTTGTGTTGTTACCAGTTTTACTTTGAAGTCTCTTAATAAATAACTTACAAAAAAACTGCAAGATAAGGTAGTGATTAATTTTATAAGACGCGTTACAGCTTTCTTGATTCACCTGAAATAGCGCTTGAGAGGTGAATGGAGAAAATAGAGAAAGTCAAAAGCGCTTAGAACTCTGTTTAGTTCGGGCTAATTTGCTTCCGCTACAATGATTCCGAAGAAACAGAGGACTAACTCTTGGCTTTGGGTTGGTTCATATTTAGGAAGTATGCGCAAACATGGCGACAAATACACATACATTATACAGTTGCTCGTAATGTACAGTTCTACGGCTGCAAGTACAGAGTATTATTCTCACGAACATACAACGAGGAGTGGTCTTATTTCTGTAGCAAACACAAAAGTGTAATGTTTATAGAAATGCTTTCATTGTAGTGCTCTCTATTATCTCGGAAACAAAAGAAAAATCATGTTTCGTAATCTGGAATTTTTATAAGCTCACGGTGCTCATTTACAGAACAATTGTCAGGCACAGTGCTAAGACGGTGGAGGTTTTAGATGGCTGATTCGAAAGGATGACATACCGTCAATTAGGCCTGAGTATTGTAAGACTTCAAACCTCTAATATAATTCGATTTAACGGGTCCGTTAACAGGTCGACAGTTTTTAGAGATATGCCTTGTTCTGCAATTAGTGGATCGACAATGAGCCAGCTCACTTCTTCAATAAAGCCTAAAATAGGAAAGCTCGTAAAGATGATAAAGTAAAAGTCTGTGCAAAAATAACAGCACGAAAATGTATTTTTATGGTTATTAATAAATTAATACGAATTTGATAAAAACTTTTTTGGCCGAGTAGCCGAACAAGGATTTCTTATAGCCGAATTTTAGCTTATCATTGAAAAAATGCCTATTGATTAGTTTTATCTAGGCTAGCAAACTCAGTCTTTGGAATATAATAAAGATATATTTCACTAATTACCTGTTGCAAGTTCAAGTGGCAGAATGACAAAAATGCAACAGACATTGAAGACATCACCAAGAGTTGCAGCGGAGAAAGCCCGGCGAAATCGAAAACATGGAAGGATTGAGTGGTATTCAGCGCTAAGTTCATATATATA